AAATAACTAAACCAATCCAACCAAAAAGAGTGAAACCAATGCAATAAGATCACGCTATAAGCAAAAAAAAATATAAAAAAGTTTGGTGGGCGTGAGATTTGAACCCCGCTCACGAAGCGATAGCCTCAGCCACGGAGCCACAGGTGCTCTTGCAAAATGCTTATGGCTAGGCATTACTTTCCGCCGACATGAACGACGTCACAATATTTTAGTAGGCTACCGTTTAACGGCTGTTTAAGTACATCGTTATAAAAATGTTCATACCGAAATAACACTGTAAATTATCGGTATTTTTAGCATGCATTCCAGACCGCCAAAAATGTATAACATTTAAAAACAATTCAGTTCTAATATGAAAATAAGGTTAAATTACTAGTTTACCATTAAAAGCTTATTTCTAGACTATAAATATTTTTAAAATAAATACCATACAGCTGCCTGCATAGTTATGTTGGCAATATTTCGGAAAAGGCAAATATCGACTGAAATTCAGCACATAATTAGCAACACCTCAAGAGGATTCTGGCAATTAAAAGGCAGGGTTTTCTATAATCAAGACTTGAGCACAAAAATGAAACTTACAGTGTACCGAGCAATAATAATCCCCATCATGTTATATGGAAGCGAAACCTGGGTGCCGTACCGCCGACACACGAAAGCATTAAACAAATTGCAACAGAGACATCTTAGACAACGTATCGGTCCTTAAAAAAACTAGCAATGGGAGCGCTGAAGTCATGATTACTAAATCGCGCTTAAGGTAGGCTGGTTACGTATGCAGGATGCAAGCCGCCTACCGAAATATCTTCTTTACGGTGAGCTTGTAGAGGGTAAGAGGAAACCGGGGGGACAACTAAAAAGATACAAGGACATTTTCCATGAAAACTTAAAGTGGATAAGCATGCAGAATTAGTGAGAGGGAGCAGCGCACAAAAGAATGCAATGGAGAAGAAATCTAAACTCGGTTAACCACGACAATCAAAAAGTAAAGAGGCAATAAAGAAATGATATTTTTGAATGTCCGGAGTGCAGAAGAGAGATAACATCACGTATCGGGCTTTTCAGTCACAGAAAAGCTCATGAAACAAAAACGCCTTAAGTAACCATTTTCTGATGCATGTCAAATACTTGAAAAAGTAGTAAAATAAAACAATATTTATACGTGTAACAAATAGGTTTGGTTTGGTTTGGTGATTTTGTACGTAAAAAATAGTTTTTTGCGTGTAACAAGTAGTTTTTTACGCGTAACATATAGTTTTATACATAATAAGTTTTTTACACGTAATAAGTTGATTCACTTTGTATTAAAATATCAATATTTTTGATAAACTCGTGAACTGCTCACAAATACACGTCGCGTCGCTACATATTCCTAAGCCGTTACTACTTTTCGTTACCATCAGCTCGTGAAATTTACTAATATCTGAATATATAATTTTATACTTATAGCAATGGTCAACCATCCTGTATATTATTTTTCATAAACAGCGTTTTTGTTAGCAAATAATTTTCACTAAAAATAAATTTTGCGATCATTATCTTATATTAGTAAAAAGAATAACATTCATAGTAGTTCTGTATATGGAGTTAAACGGTATGTACTTAATTGAAAGCCACTATGGATATTGTTAAACAAGGTATGTACTTTAAATTTATTTCTAAACAAGTTCGTTATTGTTTAGTTTTTATTTATTTTTTAAGATGATTCTTAAATGGGTATAAAAATTTTACGTTTTCAAACTTCAAAAAGTCATTAAAAAAAACATATCAAAACATATCGTATTTATTGAATATTTTTGTTGCCATATTCATACACTTTTAATTTTTGTATAGTTCACCTGCGTCCGCTTGCGACGGACTTTATTTTTTAATACTTTTCAGATGGAGTAAAATTGATAAGCAATGCCGATCTGGTTAATACTTGGCTTAATCATAAGGACAAGAACTCAAAATTATTTATATTTCAAAAAATGTGTTCTTTATTAGATATTGATGAACCTTCCAGTCCAATTTTATAACCACTTGTGCCTGAGCTCACTATGTTGGAGCGAAATGTGGCATAAAAAATGTTTCCATCTTTCAATTTATTATAAAACCTCATACCAAAGAAAACGAAAAAATAATATATGGATATGGTCTATTAAAGAGGTAACTATTAACATCCGAACCCCTCATACCAACAAAAAGAACAGTAACAACGCGAAAAAGTAACATATTAGAAAATGATGTACAGAAATATCGTATATGTGAGGATATTTCATCTACCTGTGATTTGGATACTATAAATTTGGAAGGTTCTGTCAGCAATGATTCTTCTGAATCAGAGTAGTTACGATCTATGCATTTTGTTGTCCTAAAGTAAATTTATAGTATCTTAAGTTTTTTTTTAATTAAATATATCATTAATGTTTCTTTTTCATTAAGAAAAACATGTTTATCTTATATTAGGTTTATATTGTAGGAATCATGTTCTAATGTTATTCCAATTCTTTTTTATCACAAGGATTTATTTAATACTTACACCGTTTTCATTCTATAAATTATTATTTCCTTAGATGGAACACAGCTCCAACATTTTTATTATTTATAAGATTTTTTTTCATAAACGTGGGACTAAGAACATCATCATTTAGTACAATGAGAGTACTCATCATTTGTGTCAAATAAACCTAGTTTGAATAAATTGCCTACATAAAAGAGAAGTTTTGCATTTTTGTCCTCTAGAGCCATATGTTCGAAGCACTGTGCGTCGCGTCGCTACATATTCCTAAGCCGTTACCACTTTTCGTTACCATCAGCTCGTGTGTCACGGACTTCTCGTTAGCTCGTGTGTCACGCTCTTGAATTTTTACTTCCAGAGTAAAGAAGTTTCAGTTCAAAAATTCAGAGCTAGTAAAAGATAGTTTGCAAAAAATGTAAATAACTTACAAATTTCTAAATCACATAATTTATTACAATTTCGCTGTTTTTTTGAAGGTGTGTCCAAATACGAAAAATAAAAATAACACAATACCATTTTTGGACTTTTAGTTTCAAAACACGTAAAATAAGCCATGCTAATGTTCTTTTGCCTTGTTACGTGTTTTTTAAAGGTCGATTCTCTCTATTGCATAAAATATTGTTGCATAATGCCGTGTGCTAATATACCTTAATAAAAGAGAAACTATAACTGAACTTTTATTGTAAAAATGCGGCTGCTAGACTTTGCGTATATTCCATTTCTATAAAATGTAGCTTGGTAATTAAGTTATTATTCTTTCGTTATTGGTAGGATAGTTACTTCTATCAGGATCCTGGCATAAAATTATAATACACATTTTTTCTATATTAAGCAGGGTCTTTAGTAAAGTAACATGTATGTATTTCAAAGAGTAGGTAACACTTGAAAGTATTTTAGAAAACGATAGTTCATATAAAAACTGTATAGTAATATAACACTTAAAAAAATTAAAAAAATAATTAATCGAAATATTGTTAAGTGAAAAAATAGTTAATCGCATGGTACTCTATTGATTTCTATCAATTTATACATTTCTATTAATTGTTTAGTTGTTACGATATTTGGTATTTTAATATAATGACATAAATTAGGATTGATAGACGTATTCAATTGTTGCGGTCATTTCCTGTTTAACCGGAAATGTCTACATCTTTTGCTTTTTAAATGGCGCTCTCGGTATTTTTTTACTTTATTCAATAGAAAATGACATTCTGAATAAAATGACGTACCTATCATATGTCAACTTGTGACATTTTCAATAATTAAAATAGAATAGCTTTTTAAATGTCAATCTAGAGTGCGATGGCTGCCATTAAAATGACACCCTTGGTATTTTTTTTACTTTGTTCCATAGAAAATGACACTCTGAATAGAATGACATATCATATGTAAACTTTTGACATTTTCAATTAAAGAAGAATAGCATTTTAAATTTCAATCTCGAGTGCCATGGCTGACATTAGAATGACACCCTTGGTATTTCTTTTAAATTATTCGATAGAAAATGACACTTTGAATAGAATGACATATCATATGTCAACTTTTGACATTTTCGCATATTTATGGTTTATTTGAAATTGCAACATGTGGTTCATAATGACAATTTGACACGAAATACCAAAAGTGTGTGGTGTCAAATTATTCGTAAAAAATACTTTTTCCAAATATGCTAATGAGTCACCCTCGTTTCATTTGAAAAAAATTATATGATTAAAAATACGATGTGAGATGTGAGCATCTTTTAACTGGCCAGGACAAGACACGAAAAACATTAAATGTTCAAATCTATATTTTTGCAAGACTCCTTGATTGAGAATTAATGTTTTTAACTCAGCCATGGCACTCTAGAATGACATTTAAAATGCTATCCTTTTTTAATTGAGTGTCAAAAGTTGACATATGATATGTCATTCTATTCAGAATGTCATTTTCTATTTAATGAAGTAAAAAAATAACGAGGGTGCCATTAAAAAATAAAAAGTTGTAGGCATTTCCGAAAACAATTGTGTATGTCAATCAATCCTAATATATGTCGTATATTAACATACCAAATCTGGTTTGGTTATTTGAAAAAATAAAGAGATATAGGGGTGAGCCACTTTTCAGACCCGGTATACTGCTGAATAAAAAAAGAATAAAATATATTATCGCCTTCATTGTTGTTATTTTTTTTAATAAAATATGCTTAGTTATTTTGCCCACTGCAAATTAATAAAATTTAAAATATTTTTTTCCGGCGAGAGTATATATGAAAAATGTAATTTTTTTTGTATTCTATTCATATTTATTTGTATTTATGTTCTCTTCGTATATGTTTATAATTAGGTATATTATATGTAGGTATTTAATTTATTTTTTAATAATTATATTTTTAATAAAGGAAAAACAGGTGTATGAAAGCTTGAACCATAGAATAATTAACTGAATCTCAACATATTAACACGGATGTAATGTATATTATTTAAACAATTCCCAGAATCCTCCTCATCTCAATACGTACTTTGATATTTCTCCACATTTGTTTACAAATCCACCATATTGATTTTATTCCCTCGTTTTTTACGGTGGCAACACTACGTGATGATCAAACTAGCTGGAAGACGTACACTTTCGACACTAAAACACCTGTAGTGCGGCACTGTACACTTTTTGTCTTTCGAAAACTTTTCTATCGAGGTTAAAACGTCAAAAAGCGAAAAACACGGCTTAAGTCAAGTTACAATCTGAGCGCACGCCTGGTGTTGAGTTGCTGTTGCGTCTGTATCGTGAATGGAATGTTTTTGTTAGGGTTGTGTATTCCAGTAAATCGTTTTGTACTAAATATAAAGAGAAAGTTGAATAAACTAGTATCTCGTTAATATATCTGTACTTTTGTAGCGAATTCAGTTTCTGCAAAATCCTTGGTATTTCGCCACTGAGCTCAACTGTCGTTTACCTGAAATCAGTAATCAGTAATTATGTAAGAAATATTTGTTTATTTAGTATATGGAAGCCTTTTCGAATAGTATGTCACAAACAAAATTCTGCGGAAATGCATCCTTTTTGTGTTTTTCAACTTTAGAATAGCGAATAGCAGAAATCAGGACCACTTTCATTTAGCTGAAATCAGTGATGTAAGAAACACAGGGTGAGTCTTAAATAAGTGCAAATATTTTCAGAGGTGGCATATTTCGACCCCAGGAAAAAAAAGAAAGATGTTTCGCTAAAAAAAGATGTTGAAAATCGTACATTTTCTTTTAATTTGTATTTCGCTGTATATTTTTCGAAAACTTTTTAGAACTGCCTGTGCACCGCAAATTTTGCCACGGTATAATTCCTTAATTTCAGATATTACCATAGTTACGGCTTTATTCTATGGTTACGGCACTAAAAGGGATGCAAATACAGAAAAAAGCTGGTGGCCCTCAAAATTTTTCCAAAAAAAATAATTTTTTTTTAATTTTCAAACTTAAATACCCACATATTACCATAGTTACGGCTTTATTCTATGGTTACGGCACTAAAAGGGATGCAAATACAGAAAAAAGCTGGTGGCTCTCAAAATGTTTAAAAAAAAAATATTTTTATATTTTTATTCTGTGCTGAATAGGTTACTAGTGGAGAATATGGCTTGGAACTAAACAAACGAAAAACCAAGACGATGATTGTTGACCGCCTCCGCAACAATCAACCTGATGTCCGAACCGTGGCTGGATACGAGGTTGTGAGCCAGTTCAACAATTTAGGTTCCATGATAGCAAACTCTGCAGGATGCGAGGCTGAAATCAGGCGCAGAGTGGCAATTGCGAGGAATGCAACATCAAAGCTGACTAAGATATGGAAGACCTCAGCAATCACCCGAAAAACTAAATTGCGTAGTGCAAACTCCCTCATTTTCCCCATAGCTATGTATGGCTCTGAAACCTGGACGCTAAAGGAAAGTGATAAGCAAAGAATAAATGCCTTGGGTATGTGGGTATATCGATGGCTGCTGCGAACACTATGGATGGCTCATCGAACAAACATTTCCATTATCGAAGAACTAAAAATTGAGACACGTCTGGTTACCAAATTAAATCAGTCAATCCTTCGATATTTTGGCCATATTTCCAGGAGTGGCACCTCAATTGAGAGACTGATGGTGGAGGGGAAGGTAGAGGGAAGACGATGGAAGGTCACCTAAGAGGTGGGTAGACCAAGTCAAAACCCTAGTGGGCCACAACCTCCCCGAAGCCTCACATATGGCGCAGTGTCGAACAACTTGGTCCGAGGAAGTGAGGGGAATTAACACATGATGTCACCATACTCTCACGTAGGGTAAAAGGACTGAAGAGAGAGTCTTTTTGAATAGTATGTCACAAACATCATTTTCAGTTTTTCAATTGTAGAATTGCTGAAAACAAGTTACATGAAAACACGTTTTGTTTTTCATCCTAGAAATTTTTCTGAACATAGACACGTCAAAAAGTTCTTGCTTTGCTTACAAAATTTTCATTTATTGATAAAATATTCAGCTCAGAAGAGAATCAGTCAGCTTATAAAAAATCGGAAATATGTCAACAACGGATATAGAAATTCTTAAAGGCGTCAGACAAGGATATATATTATCGCCACTTCTGTTTAATTTATATTTTGAATCGATATTCCAGGAGGAGTTGGAAGATTTAGAAGTGAGAATAAAGGTGAATGGTAAGTGGAGAAGGATTTGCAGTGCCTGGTGGAGTTAGCAGTATTAGTCCGAGTCATGGTCTTAAAATAAATATAAACAAAACAAAATTTATGATTATCAGCAAACAAAATATTGAAAACATCAGGATACAAGTGGAAGATCAAAATATAGAAAGGGTAAGAAGATTTAAGTACTTGGGTTGCTGGCTGAATGATAAATGGAATCCTGATGAAGAAATCAAACATAGAATTGAAATAGCCAGAAACGCTTTTTTCAAAATGAAAACTCTACTCTGCAACCGAGACCTGAATCTGACTACTCGATGGCGAGCTATGTACTCTCTACATTGTTATACAGAGTCGAGGGATGAACGTTGAAGGCACGGATCATGTTACGCTTGGATTCATTTGAGATGTGGTTATACCGACGAATGTTGAAAATATCCTGGACCGAATGAATAACAAATCTCGAAGTATTAGAAAGAATGTGTAAGGACCAAGAACTATTGGCTACAATAAAACGACGGAAAGCAGCATATTTTGGTCATATTTTTCGAAACAACAAATATAGTTTCCTACAACTGATAGTTGAGGGAAAGATTGAAGGACGACGAGGCATCGGGCGTAAACGGTTTTCCTGGTTGCGGAATTTGCGCCAGTGATAAGGAGAGGCCAGTGCAATTATCCGTTTGGCTCAAGACAGGGAGGAATTCCAATTGATGGTCGCCAACCTCCGATGAGGAGAAGGCACATGAAGAAGAAGAAGATAAAATATTGTAAAATTTAGCGAGATTTGAAAAGTACTCGGCGTTGGAATTCGTACACAGGCGCGTTTTAGCTGCTGTATGTGTGTTTTGATTGCTTTAGTTTGGTTTGTTGGTTCGTTTTTGTTTATTTTCGTTTTTTCTCGGTACGGTATTGATGTCTAAATTACGGTATCTACTAGGTTAAGTTCATACCTATACAAGAAAAATATTTATGTAAAGCAGGAATATGTTTGCATATAACTAATTTCAGTTGTTCTAAAATAGGAAAAAAGAGAATGATGTATTTCCCCAGAGAAATTTTTATGATTTTGTGTTTATGGGTGTTTCTATATACTAGATGTTTTGTTGTTTTTTATAAGTGATTTCAGCTAAAAGATGCACCACCACTGTACAGGGTGTCTCATTTTCGTGTGTTTTAAACGTTTTCTCGTTTATGAGTAGAGATACAGAGATGCGGTTTTCACGTTATAATTTTGCATTTTTCGACCCCCTTTGTATCTCGGTTATCCTAAAACTTTTCAAAAATTAAAAACTGAGTTTCATGGAGTTTTTCACGTAGAATTTAATGATGTAACTAGATTTTCGCTGGGAGCTATAATATTATATCCCAAACTTATGGGTTTTTAATGGAATACTCTGGATATTTGTTTTGTTATGGATTTCTTAAAATATAGTATACTCTATAGTACTTATTTTCATAAACGTGGTAAGAAATGCATTATTTCACTTTCTAACATAGGCACCCGGTTTATTTTAGGTAATCAAAACAATCAAATAATTTAATTGACCTCAAATTTTGGTTATTGGTCATTCCACACTAGTTTCTTTGTATAGAATTATTGCACAGGTGCATCAAAAATATCAATAACTCTGATTGATAGCATGTTCTCCAAAACTTGAACAAGTTCATTTAGCTTATGCAATTTGTTAAGATAACACGATGGAAAATGGAAAACCAGAATTATCTCGTTAAACCAAATAAAAAAAAATAATAGTACTTCTTTAAACTGGTTGATGAATTATTAATTTATGTTAGAAAGTTAAATAATTAATTTTTTACCTTATTTATGACAATAAGTATAGTGTGGTATAGGGTATATACGAACAAAAATCAGAGGGGATTGTATTAAAAATAATATTATCTAATACATTATTTAATATAAATTTTCAAAATTTACTTATTTTTGTAATGGTATTATTAAAGAAAGAAGACAAAAACACAAAATATAAAAAAACATATTATAATATAAAAAATGAATTGTACTAAATTTAGTACAAAATAAATCATCTCACAACTATCGTTATTCCGCGCTCTGTTCGCGAACGTTAATTGCCAGATCTTGTCCGTTCTTTTTTGATATGTGTTCTAAATAGGTCTGTCTTTGTTTATTAACGACTCCTAGTTTGCAATCGAGTAATTCATTTCATCCTGTGAAAGCTATCGAAAAGTTAGCGTAAGATTAGATTATTTTAATTTTTGTGCACAGCAGGATTTTTGTATCTATCTATGAGTTTTGTTATTGTTACCAAAACGTGTTTTGTATTAACATTTAACATATTTATCGTCTAATTAACTAGTTGTTATTTTTAGTATTAATTAATAAAATGTTTGTGATTAAAATCTGGTTGTTATTAATTAACTACAGTAGAGATACTCTAAAATATAAAAAGACCAGAAGGGCAAAAACAAGTGCAAGAAAGATATTATTATTATCATTTTGTCACGCGTTTTGGCCTTAGCTCGGCTCTTTTAAATTAAAAAAAAAGAAAAAAAAATTTAGAAAAGAAGTAAAAAAAATACGAAGAAGAAAAAAAAATATTATTAAGTTAGCGATTAAGAAAAATAAATATTTATGGAATTTGCAGGGGTCTAGTCGCGAACAAATTTATGCCCTAGCTCAGAAAATTCGGAGAGTAGGGGCGGGTTAACAGCTTTATTCAGTCTAGTGCTTCAGGCTCGATCTAATACCGGGATACAGCTTACTAATATATTTATTATATTATTCACTAACACCCTCGTGGCTATTTGATCGGCCATCAAACTGCGAATCTTCATACGGCAGTAAAAACCTACCTATCTTTTAATAGAATACCACATTTTTTGCGGGGTATAAACCTTAATGGTTCCCTCGCACTTGCCCAGCGCATTCACCGTATTTAACAATAGTAAATAAATAATAACAACAATAATACCAAATAATTCTCGTTACAACATATAGTAAGTGTGGCGATTGCCACCTAACAACAAATCAATATAGGGAAAAATTGACCAAAACGTAAGGCGAAAAAATACGCATAAATTTTCCCCCTGAGCACCTTCTCGGAATTCCACCCGGGCC